ATCCCACTCTGCACCCTCAGCAATGTGAATAATAATATATTACATGAAAATAAAATTATACACTTCTCATTGGCTGAAACAAGTGCATTTTTCATGTAGCAGAAGTGCAAAGTTGTAATATTAATGGAAAGTTGTAACATGAGTGCAAATTACAAATAGCATGCTCTATCAAAATTTCGTCTGTCTTTAATTTTTTCTTAATGCCAGGTATATTATTAGTTCAAATTTAATTAATTCAGGCAATCAAATTACACTTGCCCTATGGGCCCTCATGTATATTATTAATAGATAATCACATCATTTTCTCGTGCAATTTGGAATAAATAAGCACTTGTAAATTTTTTCAAAGACCACAAATTGCACTCGCCCTACAGGCTCATGCAACTTTGTTGGTCTTTGAAAAAATTTACTTGCACATATTTATTCCAAATTGCACTCGAAATCATGTGATTACCTATACTTATTATTATTATTATTATTATTATTATTATTATTATTATTATTATTATTATTAAGAGGTTTTCTTCCATCAAAATGTGGCCTTTATCATACCTGCCAGGAGAGCAAAGCGGTGACATATCTACAGCGACATCACTTGTATGTTGTGGTAACCTTGGCAACAGCTGGATGATCCTATCAGCAAGTGTATCAAATGTGTGGCTTGCTGGTCCCACCAGATCGAGTGTCCTGTCAATCAAAATCAGCGATCCACGGCTGCTCAAGCTCTGATGAGTCAATGTAAATCAAAAGACATGTTTAATACAAGTCATCCATTTCTTATGATCAAACTATGAACAGATGTAAATTTAATCAAAATTCACCAACAGGCCTTCCATGAACATGGGAAAAAGAAAAAAAAAGTCTCAAATAGAAATTGTGCACACCAATATCATACTTCAATCAGTTGTGACATAAAAATATTCAAAGAGGCTCAAGGATTTTCAATTTAACTACAATTTTCTGTAAGCATGTTCACAAGCTACCAAGTGACTTTCTGCAATGACATAAAGAATGATGCTATTAAAAATTAATTTTAGACCTGAGGAGAAAAGTGAATAATAATGTTTTCCAGCCAATAATAATCAAATCCTAGCAGTAGGCAGGTGCTCGTCAAGTGAGTCAAGTTTTTATTAGTAAGAGCTTCTCATAGAAAGTGGCGGGACCAATTTGCACCTTATTGGCTGATGTACCTTTCTTCTTGTTCTAGCGGCTGGTAAGTTTGCAAGCTCTGTAGCTATAGCTTTGCTGAGATATCCTACTCCATAACAATCCTCACTCACTTCCAACAATTCAAACAAACTGTTTAAACCAAAGGCAAACATCTGAAATAGTGAAGTAAAAGTAAGAAATAACTAAGAATCAGGTCACATTTATCACTGATGGAGTAGTTGGGGTTAATCATTAAGACCTCCTTACCACAATTACTAAGTCTAGTTAATTTGATACTCATTTACTGGAGGAAGGTTGGATCATATTAAAATCCCATAAACCTCTTTGTTTCCTTTCTTTACAGGTTTTAGATGAATACAACAGAACAGTATTCATTAGAGAAGTGTTGAATTTTTCAGAAAAAAGTTTGCCAAGAAAAAGGAAATCTTTGTAGTGGAAAGCATCATCTTTCTGACTCACCAGTTCTATTAATATAATTTGTTAGATTCCTGAATGAAAATACCCTGCCTTTTTAAGGTTTTTTTGGCATATTCTCCTTTCACTTCAAAATGCTTCATAGACATTCATTTTTAGATGAATACAACTGAGCAGATGAATACAACTGAGCAGATGAATACAACTGATGAATACAACTTTTAGATGAATACAAGTGGTTTTAGATGAATACATCTGAACAGATTCATTAGAGAAGTGTTGAATTTTTCAGAAAAAAGTCTGCCAGGAAAAAGGAAATCTTTGCAATGGAAAGCATCATCTTTCTGACTCACCAGTTCTATTAATATCATTTTTTAGATTCCTGATTGAAAATACCCTGCCTTTTTAAGGTTTTTTTGGCATATTCTCCTTTCACTTCAAAATGCTTCATAGATATTCATATCCTACCTTGACTTTCAATTGCAGATTATGAGGAAGGAAAGTCACCTCAAAGTCATTCAGGCTGTTAAATACTCTTTTGTCGCCCTATAATTTGAAACTGTTTTGTTTAGTTTCCAACATGTCAAATACACATGCATACACAGTGCTTAATCAAACAGCAAAACATGCATTTAATCAAAACAAAATGTAAAATACTATGTAAGATTTATACCTTGTCTTATTATCGTAAAGGGCAAATATCTCAAGGATTGTACAGCCCATGTTCTGTCACTGAAAAGTAGTTGAATTTACAATGCATTCTTGATAACTTCATCCCCAGTAGAAGGGGTATTAATAAAAGATAGAAATCATACCATGCTCCTGAGAAACTTTTGCAGTCTTGGTACATCTGATGGCAGTAGAGGAAAGAATGTTGAAAACACTGGAGTGATGAAAAGACCAGGACAAACCACAGCAGGAAACAGGGGCAGGTAGTGCACATCTACAGTGGCATACTGCAGTAAAAAAATACATGTAGAAACTTCTTAATTGGCTAAACAAACCAAATTCTTTGTAAAATTTTTTCATGAATATAAGCAAAACCTGGGAATCAAATACCAAATAAATTTTTCAAGTAATGAGGGTGGCAAAGGGTTTCTACGTGACTTGTGATTATCAGGCCAAAATTTATTTGTGATGCCTGATTTTCACCCTGAAAATTATATATTATTAATTAATATGAGAACCATGAATTTGTCTTTCAATTTGTGAAAACCTCAAGATTTTCCTGAAACCTTATAATACAGAAAAAAAAAGAGATTTGAAGTTTTCCCTTTAATATTTTTTTTCTAAAAGCCAAGCATTAAATGGGATCAGAATCCCACTCTGCACCCTCAGCAATGTGAATAATAATATATTACATGAAAATAAAATTATACACTTCTCATTGGCTGAAACAAGTGCATTTTTCATGTAGCAGAAGTGCAAAGTTGTAATATTAATGGAAAGTTGTAACATGAGTGCAAATTACAAATAGCATGCTCTATCAAAATTTTGTCTGTCTTTAATTTTTTCTTAATGCCAGGTATATTATTAGTTCAAATTTAATTAATTCAGGCAATCAAATTACACTTGCCCTATGGGCCCATGCAATTTCATTGTCTTTGAAAAAATGTATTTGTGCCTATTTATTTCAAATTGCACAGTACAGGCTGCAAGCAAGAGGAAAACAGGGAAAATTTAGAAGTTCTTTTTTTACATTTTCAACACCCTATTCTTCCAATTACTTATACCTACCATGTTACCCATCCACTCTCTAAGTTTCTGTGATAGTTCCCCAAATGGTGATATTTCTCCTATTTCCATATGCCTTGCAAAACAATGCACATTTTCAGGCACAGTGCAAAGGATTGTACAGTGCTGAAAATCACTTGATTCTACAATAGTTCGAATCAAGTCCAGAGATTCACTTTGAAGTAGAGTACCAATCACAAACACAGCTTTCGTTTCAGATTCATTTCCACCCTGAAAATGACAGGGAGAAAAGTGATTGACATATTAACCCATTAATTTCCACGAATGACCAAAACAGAATATAACCACAGATTAAACAAACCACTGTTACAATAGATATGGCTGGTAGACTTTACTGACCCCAAACGGAAGCCGTAAAACTAAATAAATGGAAAAAATTACGCTAATGACATGATGCAAAGGTTTGTTGAACGAGACTATAGAAAGAAAACGTAAAAAAAAAATTCAAGATGAAATGTGATATGGAAACTAATTAAGGAGATGAAATACACTTCTTTACCTTGTCCAGCCTTAGGACCGCGAAAGGGACAAAACAAAAAGTGCTAAATGAGCGTAAATCCTTTAACGGCTTGAATCAAGTAACTTATGATCATGCTAGTAAAAAATACACTGATCACGTAACCGAAATGGCACAAAACTTAACTGCACACGGACTGGGCTGGCTAGTCAGACACACAGAATTTCGCTTTACAATACCAATACAATATTGAGCAGAAAAGTAATAAGCTAAAGAAAAGCACCAATTAGGGAATTATAAGTTGATCCAATATAAAAGTCCCCAAACCAACATCAAAAGAATTGTATGGCAAACAGTAAAGAGAATTACTAATGAGATCTTAGGAGAGCATTAGGGTTTACTCCTTATCAATAACAAGGTGAATAAAATCACTTCTAAAAGGCAAACAATTACAAGAATTAAGAAAACAAACTACCTTTTCTTTAGCTCTGGTAAAACTAAAATTGATAAGTTTGCTTGGTGCATTATTCATAGGTGATTCAGAAACATTTGATCAGATACATGTACGATTAGGGCCATACTTTAAAAACCTTTTCTTCTCTTACCTCACGCATAGGCACAAAATGGTTTACAGGGTCAAAGAGAAATTATAGAACGAGAAACTGTTGGCAAGTGTAGAAATTCCATTAAACTTCCATAAACACAAAATTATACAAGTATTGTGAGCCTGCTTGCAAGATTCAGACAATGAAAATGTAACCATTTAATATTAATAGTTCTTCGACCTGAAGTAGTCAATAAAATTAAAGTAATAAGCACCCACGATCTTCGAAAAACTTTCATTCGAAATATCTCCCGTTGTGATTTAAAACGTTTACCTTCTTACTCGCTTTCTTTCTGCCCTTTCAATTAAGAATTTTAAAAAAACTTAACATAAAAACAAGTCATTTGTGAAAATAAGACCAACTCACTCTTCCAAAGGAAATGTCGCAGACGTTAAGCGCTCCTGCATCGATCAGATCTTGAAGATTACCACACCAATGAATCCATTCAGCTGTTCTACTATCAAGATAAACCAAGGCATTGTTGACAACAGTCAAAAGTTTTTGCCAGACTGTGGTTAATCCACGTTCAAGTGCGCTTTTGGCCGCCATGTTTACATCATTTGTTTACACCAGTCCCTCTCGTCGTGTTAACTTCAGACGAGATTTCGTGTTCAAGTCTCGCTCGGTATTATTGACGCACGAAAAGAGGTTATTCAGAAGGAATAAAGTAGTAATCACGATCATCATGATGGCGATTTTAATTGTACGTTGATCAATATTAACAAGAAGATGTATGGCTCCTAGCGTCAATGCAACCCAACTGCAGAGGACGTTACCCGATGGAAAAGGTCTTCCAAAAATTCCAAAATAATAAGTCGCCTTGTTCAAAAAACTGCCAATCGATCTCACTGATAAAGGGAATTAGTTTCTAAAGAGACTGTGGTGCTGCGTCGGTGGGGGTAACTACCAAATTACGATCTCACAATAATTAACCAAATTTCTCACTGATGATGTGGACGATATAATTTGCGAAAGAAGCTGACCAATCTGTTACGGAAACTCCTGGAGTTGCTGGATTTGTCCGAATAATGCCTGGGGCCTTAAATAAATTCTTTAAAACCAGAAAGTTACTTATTTAGGATGAAATGTTCAAGAAGAATTACGAAGACACGTTGATTCAGTTTCAGTTTCCGTTTAAAAGCTGTCGAATGTTCGGTCACGAAGGGATGTGTCTCTGAATGGTAGGATAATTAAAGCAAAGGGTTTACTAATGGTTTCAAAAGAGGCTTAAAGCTATTGTATAAAATATGGTTTCCGAGGTTTCGCCGATTTGCAGCATTATCGCTGTGGATTGGCGAAAGCTCGGAAACTTATTTTTGAGACCGTTACTACTTTGATGTTAAGGTTTGTCTGAGCTTTTAAGTTCCCGTATCATCCCTAACGCTAACCCTATCCTAATTTGCCGCTTATCTTAGACCGCATAAAAAAGTTGTTCGCTGAGTTTATTTGGAAGGGAAATTAACTCGCAAATATAAAGAGAAAAAACTTGAATGGGCCTAAAAAAAGGAGTTTCGGATGCCAGAATAAGAAATAATTATAAAATTACTAGGATGTGTTTGGGCAAAGAGAATGGAGGAAATTGATTGGATTACAATTCCTTTTAATTTCACCAGAGAAGGGGAGGAGAAATTCCGTTGACTGTGATTAGGATTTAAATTTCTTTATCACCATGCCAGCTTACCTAAAAACACAAAACTTAAGGAGATCCTCTAGCGACTACGTCTCGGATATGAATAACTGTTTCCGGTGACTTCTTCCATGCCAAACGCCTCGTATTGAGATGAGGCAATGTTAGCAAAGAAAAGTCCTCTATTTCTACGCCGATATTTCCATACTTTTAATTTTATTTTATAGAGGGCCACGGGGTCACCTTTTCTATTGTCGCAGCATGCTATCCGCTTGAAATAAAGTCCATTCCAGTTTATTGCCTCAATATACACTTGTGGAGCTAGAGCGAGAGATCAGTTTCGCCTTTCCCTTGCAATAGATTACTTCGGAAAGGCCAGCGATTCAAGCTCTCACTGTTTTGTGTCCTCAGTTATTATATTCTTGATGTGCTGTCAGTGATTGGCCGGCTATGGATGCCTAGGTTTTGGATAACTCAAATTCATTTGGTCTCTCTCTCTGTGGGCGGTCTTGGTGCGAGTCGGCTCGGAGGGGAATATTTATATTTAGATGGTCAGCGAGGAACCTTTGTTTTCGCAAATAAATGCAGAGGAATTCGATCAAAATAAGAAACACAAACGTTCCATTCATTGCGAGAACAATGTGCAACCAGAAAGTTTTCTTGTCTGCCCGTGAATTGTGACATTCGATTCGGATTTGTTCCGAGTTTTTCCCCCAATTTCCGAGCTGTCCACTTGCTGGTGTTAAATAACAGACAAATTCGGGTTGAAAGTCAGAAGGATAGAGCAGCAAAGCTTGTAAGATCATGAACACTACTCCTATAACAAGCCTTATGAAAAGCTGACAACAGTAAGCAATGAAAAGCTTACGTCTTCTTCTTTGGCCTTTCTCGTCGAGTGACTGTCTCTCGGAATCATCGTTACACCGTACGCGTTTGCTGAAAGAATAACGGTAAGCATTATTAAGCCTTGTTTGGTTTTCAGCGTCAAGTGACTTCTTTTTGGTATGAGGAAGCGGTCCGCTGTTCTGTAACTGATCGACTAGAGGACTCGCTACTTGGGCGTAAACCGCACAAACGAACCCAACAAGGAGGAAATTTATGATAACGAAGCCGTAGACAGGGACACTGAATTTGTTATATTCTCTGTCGTATTGGTCGAAACACATTCCCTGGTAGAGGTCGGTGTTATAGCTTTCCGGAGCCTTGCCGCAGAGAAAGTCAAACCTGGATTCCCTGTGTTCGATGTCTGCAAAGACACCAGAAAAGGTTATTGCGAGCCCGAACCAACAGATAACTGCTAAGTAACTTAGCTGGTTTAAGGTTTTCGGCGCAAGTATTTCTTTAAGAGTCTTAGCATCCCCAAACTTAGCCACATCCATCGCTCTGTTTGTTTGGGTAAGATTCTTCTTCACTCACTTGTGGTCTAGGAATGATGATCAAAGAAACGGACGGCTTTCATTTCACCTTTATAGTAGAGTTTATTTGTAGACATGCATATACATTATTGGTCGGTAGGAACCTTTCAAGAGCGGATCTACACAGGAACCCAATATCGGAAACCGAATTTGGAAATTGAAATGAAAAATTGAAATAAGACGCTAAAATAGATACTTGTATATCTGTTGCTTGGGCAGAATTTTCCTTAATTATTTACTGATGTTATGGTGAGTCGGTGGAGAAGGCGCTTTGTAGTTATTGTTAACTGAACAAGACAATTAGTATAATAATATCGATATCTCTCAGTTTTTACTTGCGCTTGGACAATTTAGCGGGCGGTATTTCAATGTGCGGCCCGCTACTTTCACCCACCGATATAATAAATATCTCACTAAACTGGTTTTCTCGGTTTGTACTGCAAGTTATGAACCGACTCAGGAGCCCATTACCCTGGTAATGGCTCGTGACCGACTTTTTTTTCGCCTTGTTTTTCCGCTCGAATTTATGGCTCGTGCACCTCGCCCTTGGGTTTGAAAATTGAGCGGAATATTCACATTTTTCAGATTCCAGATTAAAAGTTTTTAAAGGTGCGGTCAAATAAAGGAATATGTCCCTGTTTGGTAGAATAACTACACCGGAGAGTTTAACAAATGACTTCGTTCAAACTGATCCCTAATTCCTTCTCAAATTTTTCGATTCTGATTGATGATATAGAATTGCAGTTTTTGGGAAACATAACGTAGTAGGAAACCTAATGCAGAAAAAGGACAATTTATGGCAAATATAGTAATAAAAAACACAGAGCGTTCTGATTGGTTGATAAACAAAGACACTCGCAAAGAGCCAATCAAACAATTTTCGTGACAATTATTAGTATCTGCGCCAAGTTTGAGATAAATGGGGGATATGAACATTATCACCCCCTGCCCAGTTTTCTCGTGGATACGCCTCTGATACACATTTTTCAGATTCCAGATTAAAAGTTTTTAAAGGTGCGGTCTTATAAAGGAATATGTCCCTGTTTGGTAGAATAACTACGCCAGAGAGTTAAGCAAATGACTTCGTTCAAACTGATCCCTAATTCCTTTTCAAAATTTTTCGATTCTGATTGATGATATAGAATTGCAGTTTTAACTTAGGACCCCACTATGTAATTATAGTGCTGCTGAAGGACAACATTCAACGATTACAAAGAGTTAAGGTCTGTCTATATTATAAGTTCCTGCATCATCCCTTACATTCCGCCGCGTGTCTTAGACCGCAGAAACAAACTGAACGCTGATTTTCTTTGGAAAGAAAAGAAACCGAAAAAAAAAAAAAACAGGAAAACCTTGATTGGGCTTGCAGAAATGTTATGCAGACTATGAAATTATTACTGATAAACTCACAGTTTTGCGCTTGGGCCCCGTGATCAAAAATATAGTCTTTTTCACTAGAGAAAGCCAAGGGGGGAGGAACTCTTGTATTTGATGGTAATTAGGATTTAAATCTTCTATACTTAAAAAGTATGCCTGCCTGCCCGAAAGACAAGCAGAACTGCGTCTCTGATTTGAATTACCCCTTTGTATTTGGATGAGTATGTTGACGAAAAAAGAATGCTCTGTTACAAAAATTTTTCCATGAGTGGGCCAATGGGTAATCGGGTTTATTTCTGCTCAATGTTAAGCATGTTATATATCATGAAATAAGATACCTGGTATTGTATTAATCTACATATTTGGCTGCGAGTCCAATGTTTAATTTTGCCTTTGTCTTGATTGCTAGGGAAAGACGATCAAAACTCTTAGCAGGCCATCGTTACTGTTCATATCCATTACTAACCCCCTCCACTTCGGTGAATAGTTGTTAATTAGTTACTATGTTCTTGGTATGCTCTCTATAAAATTTGCGATGGGGGCGTCGGATATTGTGGAAATTTTCCAAGAAGATAACTATGAAAACTGTTTAGTCCGACTGGCTGTGGGAGGTTTTGATGCCAATCGACTTGGAGGGAGACACCTAACTTTAGGTGAAGAGCAAGGAATTTGTTTGCTCGTAACCAAACACAGCAGATCTCTATCAAGATAAGAAGCGCAAATGCTCTATTCACTACGAGAACAGCGTACATCCAGAAAGTCTTTTTCTTTGCTCGTTGATTGTGATACTCATGTAGAGTTTGCGTCGAAGTTTCAATGATGGCAGATGAATTTCTAAGCTGATTACCTTCTGTTAAATAACAGTCAAAGTGAGAGGGAAACTAGAGGGATAGAGTGGCTCGATTTATTCAGGCGACGGATTATCCGTCAAGAAGGATCATCCGTCTAGTATAAATGCGTGAAGGACTATGAGACTAACTATCGGTGTGTCGTGTGACTCGTCCCGTGTTTTATAGTGGACGAGTTTTCTGAACGAGTTTCCGAGAAAGTACAACGAAAAGGCTTGGGTCCTAGTCAAATGTTTTAGTGCGGCATTGGCGGCAAATTTCAAAATGGCGGCAATGACACAAGTGTTTTTTCTCCTCTGCTAACACAGGCGCAAGGTATTTCATTTTTGTATTCGTCCATACACGTTCTTTTATTGACTTTCTGGGTTTGTATGAACCATCATTTGAATTGTCCGCCATCTTGAATTGATAATTTATTGAAAACAACCGCTGGCTTCTTGTAACGAGGTGTAGTTTTCGTGGATAGTTCGTCTTCTTCCCGCATTTATACACAGCCACGGATCATCCGTCTTCACGAGTTATTCACGATAATTCGTCTGACAAGTCGGACTATCGCGATAGCTCGTCTCGATGGATGATCCGACCGGTTGCCCGTGTTTATACACAGACGGATTATCGGACGAGCTACCGTTCCTTGCCCAAGCTCGTCCTAGACGGATGATCCATCTCCGCTAGTATAAATCGGGCCAGTGACTGATTTTGCAGGATCATGAACAGTACACCTAACACAAGCCTCGTAAAACGTTGACAACGGTAAGAATTAAAAAGCTTGTGTCATATCGTTGGGTTCTCTTCGTCGAGTGACTGTCTCTCGTAATAACGGTTTCGCCGATTGCTTTTCAATATTTGTTTAACTATAGGACTCGCTACTTGGGAGTAAATCCCACAAACGATTCAAATTAGGAGCATTGAATTTGTTGTACAGCCTTTCGTAGAGCTCGAAACAATTCACCCGGAAGACGTCGACGTTTTTACTCTCCGTCCTCGTGCAGCGAGAGTCAAACCTGGATTCGCTGTTTTCGATGTCTGCAAAATTACCACAGATCGAGAGAGTCATTCCGAGAGCGAGCAAACAAATAACTGCCTTGAAACTTAGCTGGTTTAAAGTCTTCGGTCTTAGCATTTCCTTAAGAGCATTTATATCCATCAATTCTAAGTTTTGTGTGGATGGGATTCGCCATGTAATTGAAGTCTAGAGGAGAACCATTACAACGTAAGGCTTTTGCGCACATATTGTGGGAAACCGATTATGGAAACTGATATGGAAAACTAAAATGATACTGTGAAACGGATAATTGTAACTGATTGCGTGTGCAGGATTTTCCTCAATTCTTTATCGATGCTGTAGAAAGTCGCTGGCGGAAACGATCTCGCTCAGTAGAGTTTGCCGGGGTGTGTTTTCTAGCGTGTATAGCACAATTGACCAGATCACTTCCCTAAAGATGGTGAATTGTCTCTGATAAGCCCCAATGGTCTAATGGATTTGTAGCAAAATTTTAAAAGCCTTCTTTTAGGAGAACATATATGATTATTTAATTCATACTCGCAATGAAGGCGTCGAACACATCGTTTTAAATACAATTTTGATACCACATTGAAATCACACCTCAAATTTAATGTGTGTGATTCTACAATTAAAATGATAGAATTATCATAAATATACAATTAACATTAAATCATTTATCTCATCTGCAATCCTCAAACAATGCGCTGAGCGCAAGCTACAGAATGAGGTTCAGAGTGACATTTCATTGCATGTTTTTCCATTTTTCGCGATCTCTTCACTCGACGTCCATTGTTTTCTTTCTCTACAAATATGATGTGAACAGAATCGTCAAACTTGACAGCCTTGTCTTTCTTAGAATGAATAGAGGGAATTTTGGCTACTGTGTTTTCCACCTCGTTTTCAAGGTGGAATAGATCTCTGTTTGTGAACCCGTAAATCAACTGCCAGTCCAGGTTGATTCTTTTTAGTACCTCGGGATCAATAAGCGGTCCCTTTGAACGTCTCTCTTTCCTTTTTTCACGCAGTTTTTGTCGCCGTTTCTTCCATAGTTCACGATCGTCATCGACAGTAGCTTCCTTATCAGTGCCCGCTGAGCTCGCTGGGAGTCCATTAACTTGCGTGACAGGGAGTTTAGAGGCTGATTGCATTCTTTCTTGCTTGACACGATGGACGTAAAGAGGGATAACGTGACTAGGTGAGATATCCGAACGGGCGCCATTCTTCTTAACTTTGTCATTTTCAAACCAAACATAACTTTTTGTGCTTACTGCTATCAGTGACAATGCCAAAAGACTTCCACAAACCGTAAATATCGTAGGAAGCAGGAAATCTGAAAAAAGGTAAAAAAAGCCTGTTTATTTAAACATGATCACAAAGAAAAATTATGGATTCAGAGTAAAGATATCTTCATGATGGAAAAAGCTTTGACAGAGATAAATTTGAAGGAAATTGGACTGAAACATTATGGGAAAATCATTGAAACTACAAAACAACAGCCTCAATTACTTTTCTTTTTGTTTGGTCTTTTTTGCTTGTTTGTTTGTTTATTTTTCCAGGAGGATCCTCAAGGCGTTATGTATCGGTATTATATATTATATAGATTTAGCCAAGCCTAAAAGCGGAGCTCCCAAGTTCGTAATATAATGATAACATAAAAGACGTGCATTTGCCAAGACTCGCCTGAGACACCCCTCCCTTCGTTTTGATAGTCTCCCCTACTCTACCCGTGCAATCTGAAGGCACGTACGTACGCTCGGTCAGTCACGTGACAACCAAACGAAAAGAGGTTGAGCATATTCCATGGGTATGGGGCTCTGCCGTGGGAGCCCCGCTATGATAATGTTCTTGACATTGTTGTTTACCATAGTAACAAGCGAAGCGTGTGGGCCATAAATTCGGGGGGAAAAAATGAGTTTCCTTGTCTAACAGTACAGATCGAGTAAAATGAGGCTGGTAATTATATTAACTATAAGAAGATTTCAAGTCAAAGGAACTTTTGAATTTATTGCGTACCGTATGAAGATATGAAAACATTTTTCTTACCATTGGCTGTTGTCAGATGTGTCAGATACTCAGCATGACTGTGCAGTGAGGGCCTGGACTCAACACTCCACTCACCAGTGGGACTTGCCGTTGCCAGCAAAACAAAGATTATAACGATCGTAGCCTTCATCCTTCCTGTGATAAAGATGAAACACTCTCCTTTGAAGACAAACTTTCAGCGAATGAAACAGTGAAAGATCTGGACATTTTCCATTTGAATCGAATCACAAATGCATTGTTTGTTTCCTCACCTTGAAGGCTAAAATCCTTGTAAACAAATATTCAAAGCAATAACTCTAATAACCTCTCAAAGCTGATTATTTTTCTTCTGTCAAACGCGCAATACGTCTCCTCTCTGCAGACATTGGATTTCGACTGGATATCTACAGTTTTCCTTTATGACGAAAACATTTTTGTATATGACGTTTTTTCGAATGTCGCGCGCATCAATTTTGCGCGCGCGCTCGGACAACAAATCGACAACTGGGAAAGTAGGTAAAATAAAAATAAACCCTGCGAGGAGAACCCTTATTTTTTTTATGTGTATCCAGACCTTGATGCTTTTAAAACATTGAAAACTGTCAGTTACGTCTTGTTTCTGGCTTACAGCATTCTTGTGGAAGTGAGAAAAGGTGCTAGAAAGATGCCTTCGAAAATCGAGAGGGAACTGTGGAACAGCTAAGAGTCTACTTGACCGAGGAAAATACTAGGTATACTCCAGAGTAAAAACAGTATATAGTGTGTTACAAATTGGATTTAAATAGACGTTAACAAACTTAACAACTTCGTTAAAAGTACACTTTAGGACGTAATAAAAACTAACGAAGTCTTCGAAAAACTTAACGTTCTTGTTAAAATTGAAGACTTTGTAAACTTTATTACGGCAGGATAATAATATGATAATAACATGATAATAATAACAACGTAACCTCTACAGCGCTTATGCATTGCTGTTCCAAGCGTTTTATTCATTTTCAAAATTTAGAACTAGTATCAAAATCTGACTTCTTGCAACCGTTTCTACTAGCCACCACTAAGACGCGTCATTAAAAAATTATTTATTACATGCATTTTGAAACCTTGGTGATCCTTGCAATCTGATAGGCTCTCATCGGTGTGATTTATTTACGAATCGCATCAAATTTCACCTGAATCGGACCAATCAGATTCAAAGGCTTGTTACGTCGTCGTTGGCCAACTAAACGTCTAACTTATCGAGGAAAAGAAGTCGTTAAATTAGAGACGTCATAAAACTTAATAACGTCATTAACATACTTAACGACATTGTTAGAACTTCCGTTGCTGAACAGAGTTGGACAGAACGCACGGGAGAAGGAAGGAAGGAACAAAGCAGGAGAAAAAGGCTGGCCAGCGGTGCATATTCATAGGACTAAAAGTAAATATCTGGGCATGCACAAAACGTAGAACAAAGCAAATCACAAGACGTTTCAGGAAGTTAAATTTATTTTAAATGATTCCTACAGAGCTTGAGATCATGTTGCAGTTTCGCTAGGTCATGAAAAGCTTGGTTCGTTAGTTAACGTAACACCTGACTGCTGTATCACATGGTTAGCAGCATAGTGACCGCAGCGCACACATTCATCAATCGGCTTTCCTTGGGCGAGCTGGCTGAGAAAACCTGCGAGAAAACAATTAAAAAAAAAGTAAAGAGGATGATACCAATCTCGCCTTATATTCCCAGTTTCTTCATAACTCAAGTTTTGTTACAATCACTGCACAATCAGGTCAAGAGTTAACATGAACTTTCCCCCTTTGCAATGGGGAAACGTCTGCTTTTGAAAAAGTTCACTTTGGCGTTTTAATTCCATTCCATACCAAAGGCCGGACACCAAATCGAACTTAACTTTTGAAATTCATGTGAAAATCATAACAGGATCTCAAAACCTCAGTTAAGTTTGGGTTTCCTTTCAAAATTTAATAGTACTAAGACTCAAACTTCTTTAACAAATCAGTATGAAGAAAACATTACACGTGGTTATGATGGACGGAGGACAAATTGTTTTCAATCAAGAAACCATGGTTAAAGGAAAAAAGAAAGTTTTAACACGGAGCTCACTAAAAGTCTTGATATATTAGCTACACGTTCGTCTTCATGTCAGTCACGTAACGCGTACATGTCACGTCACGCATCCATGTCACGTAACGCGTCCATGTCACGTAACGTGTCCATGTCACGTAACGCGTCCAGGTCACGTAACGCGTTATTTCCCCCCCTTTCTCAAGGGCGGCGAAGGGAAATAGCACATGCAAATGATCTCACCTCCTACAAAGGCGTCACCAGCTCCGTTCGTATCGACGATGTCTTCTTCTTTTATCACTATCACTGGGTATTCTGTGACTTTACCATCTGAAACCAGGTTACAGGGAGGTTACCAAATCAACAAATCACAGTTTTGTGTATGTAAGAAACTTGAATCCCTCGTCAATTTTCAACATATTTCAAAATCCTTGTCATTCCTTTTTATTTTTTAGCTTTTCCCAATCGTTCCCAGGCTTTGCCAAATTCCCTAGCAATTATGACAGCAATTGAGTCTGTTGAGGATACTTTCTATCAAATAACACCAAAAGCCACCTGCAACTTAAGATAATGGAAAAAAAAAAAAAAAAGGAAAAAAAAGAGAAGTCCAATGTTGAAAGAAAACTGGCTGGGATACTTAATGAAACGAGCAGAAAAAGCCAAGAAGACAAGGCAACTAATTTGTTGGGAGAGCGGCGCGAGTTTTCCGGACCAATCACAGAGCGAAGTAAGAAAAAAAAAAAAAACAATTCATTCTTGAATTACTTTGGACCCTCAAATGAAAACTTGCCTAATTACTAATTGTATTTACTTCAGCTGGTTTGAGGTTTGGGCGGTACGTTTGGTCATACCTCTGACAACAAGCGTCGGTTGCTTTCCATGGGTTATCACCACAGTTCGCGGGCGACCTTTGTTAGCTTTATCAAGTGCAGCTATTTTAATCGCAATTTCTTTCAGGTCTTCTGTCTGTTAATAACACAAGAGATTATCAGTGTCTGGACTGTGGGCAGTTTTGGGCCGTGCTTTTAGATAGCAAGGTGTGGGGAGTTTGAGGTGACGGGCCATAAGAACTATGAAAAAAAAACCTCAGGACTTTTGGCCGCGCTTTCAGATAGCAAGGTGTGGGAAATTTGAAGAGACGGGCCGCAAGAACTAAAAAAAAAAGAAGACAAAAGTTTGGGCCGGGCTTTCAGTTACAAGGGCATGGGCAATTTGAGGTGATGGGCGGTAAGAACTAAAAAAAAGAACCCAAAAGGCACACGCAAAAAAGGTAATAAAGGAAAAACGTAAGGGAATAGTATGGCTTCACCGAACACACGCTTCTATATTTATTCTCTTCATATCTGAGCAGAGGTACTCTTAACTGTGCCAGGTCTATTACATAACCAACGCAATCTAAGTTTCCCTCCCAACTGATCGCCATTTGAGACTACTGACACATACGTTCAAAACACTTTCGCACTTACCCCAAGCTCTTGCTCTTTAGCGAAAATGCCAGCTTCCTGTAAAAGGGTGAATGTTAAATTTTAGGAAACGTTCATTTAATGAGTTTTAGCTTCAAAATCCATTTTTTTTTTTACAAAAAGGTGGGAAAATGCCAAATGATTTGTCAGAGTAATTTACTTCTGCAACACTTAAATTACAGATCACAACTGGGTACACAAAGGATAGTAATAGGTAAACTAAGTGTAAGGATGAAAGAAGAATGATGTAATTCAGTGAGTGTTACAGCCAAATTCGATTAAAAAGAACTCGAAGCACTCCCAATAAGAGTCCAACCCTACGACCTTCTGATTAGTAGTACCGAACTATAGGAGTCTCGCGGAAGGCTAAGGCGTTTAACTAGGTCCAAGGTGACAAACTCCTTGCATACTGCTAGCATAGAAATGCCGATATGTGATGCTTATGCGCAATGATGCATGATGATCTAGATAAAGATGATGACTTTGAAGTCTAGTGTTTAAATGAAAGAAGATGTAATTCAGTGAGTGACACGGGCAAACTCGGAGAAAAAAAACTCCGAGTGCTACCGATAGTGGTGTAAGGATGTTTTACACATCAACGTCTGTGGAGATCAACAAGTAACTCGTGAAGAAATTTGAGGAAAAGGCATCATAACTTAAACTTGGAATTTTTTTTATGCGTATGGACACTCGAAGATCACTTAGAAATTGGAGAAAAAGCCAGAAGAACGTGTTCAAATGGGAAGTTCTTCGCAGCCCTTAAAACGAAAAAAAGGTTTCTTTGCTATAACTGGACGAAAAAGTCTGGTAAAGGAGTACATGGACACAATGCGCTTACTGTCTCATTTCCAAACAGAATGTCAACATAAGGTAGTGCCTCCATCATTGGTTCTTTGAAGAACTGGCATAAGAATGGTGCAGACAGATTCATCGTGAAGATCTGCAAATCGGACAAGATCAAATAAGCGAACAGAGATTATGAAAAGTGTTCTTACCTCACAAACTAATAATCACAAATAAATCAATCTTTTGAGTGATAATAAAAAAAATAACAGAATGGTCCCGACAGATGAACTGAAACTGATAAAATTGCAGAACAGGATAAAGCCTGAAAAAAATTTAGCCTTTAGAAGGGTTCAATCATATGGCACCCAAATGATGGTTGGGAACTACTTTAATTCTTAAATAAGTTACCCAACGACATCTTGGGTTTGAGCCATCTGGATTTTTTGTTGCCTTTAACTTTAACGGGGTTAGGAATACCTTGTTTTTCTCGGCAGCATGTTTGCCTACAGCCACAATTGACTCTGGGGATACTGTTAAGAAAAAGCCCTGTACAGAAGTAAACAATCTTCATGAGAAAACAGATCAAAGGACCAGACCTGTAAATTATATCCTGCAGTGAACATCTTTGTTAAACAGACAAGAATAACTGCTGAAGGAAGGTTTCAAGGCCGACCTTACTGACGTTTGTACAAGTTGCTGAAGTATGACATGATTTGTCGCTCTTTGCACTAGCAAGAAAACAAAGGCAATTGGTTTAAAATAAGAAGCCAGCCAAATGGTGTTACTTCTAAATATGATACTAGTTTATTGCACTTTGTTGTGTTCTCCTCTGTCACATAACAAAAATACCAATACAGGCTATTCAATGTCAATGCTACAGCCTGCAAAGAGAGGCACAGTTTTCTTTTAGACTTTTTCCTTGAGTGGATTCAAACACAAGACGAGCTCAAAGGGCTCTGTCTCTTCTTCATATCACACTTGCCTTTGCTTGCCCAAAAATGCAAAAGTGACGCTGGTTCTGCAGCTACATCTCCACTGCACTAAAACTAGCATCACTGCCATATGATAAAGCTTTAAGTCAAGATATCTTTACCAGCATTTCTTTTTATAACATTAATCAATATAATTGTTTTGAGAAGAACTTTGTTCTGTAAATCTGCACATCTGCACTTACACTGATATAAAAAATTTCAGCCTTTTCCACAAAAGCCCAGTTTTCTGGTTTAACCAAGTGTTCTGATTTGCTGTAATGGTTGGCTGCAGCAAGGTTGGCAACTAGAGACCTAAAAGCAAACATTTCTTAAGAATTAACAATTTTCTTCATTTATCTCTTCTTACAAAAATGACATGCAGAGCTCCTGGAGTTTATTCCAGTTAAATATAACATGGATCCAATGGGCTACATCCCAAATAATTCCCTGGATTCCCTTCACAGTCCACCAGTGCTCCTCCCTGGGTGGGAAAGGCAGATAGAGGGGGAGCAGTATAATCATAAAATGCCTAGCCCCGGGACCCAACATGTTGAACCTAGTTGGAAATCAAACCTGGCACCTCCACACAATGTTCTAGCAGGCTAACCTTATGAAACTGGTGTCTCCTGCATGTCCAAAGACATATTTGGTAAAAATTAATTAAGGTATCCCTCAAAGTAATTGCTACCACAAATGCATTAATTTTGTAGATTCCTGTATGCTCAAGGAATTCACAGTCAAGTCTGAACAAAACTGCATCTCAATTTCTGAAAACAATTCTTTTTGGCTTCAGAGACTTTTAAAAATATGAACACCTTATTTGTAAATTGTCACTTATCATTTTTAGTTGTGATAAGTAGTACCAACCTGTGTTTTCCAGTAATACACACAGCACATGTTCCTGTTGGTTCCTTTTCATTAACTAAGTAGTTTACAGTAACACCAGCACCTGTGGCTTTTTCAGACAGAATTCTTCCATATTCGTCTTTGCCTAGAGTTCATATGTAAATGTTAATAATCATATGGCTGCTAATAACCAAATATTTTGTTTGAGAAAAACAGTTTTGATACAAATTTAATGGAAATTATTTCTTGGCATCCAAATAGCCAAGTTCTCACGAGAAAAGGGTTTAACCCTTTCACTTCCAAGGTCTGATTGTCAATTCTGCCCTCTAGCTGCTAAACATTTCCTTGTAAATTAGTGAAAAGAATTTGGTGTTCGATCATGACAACAACTCAACCCAATAAAGTTTTAGTATTCTAATTTCCTGTTTTCAGGAAAAAAAGTTCAGACAATTCGCTTAGATCTCCACTATTGTTGGTTACCACACATTCAACATCTCTGAAATGTTTCAGGTATTCACAGCTTTCTGAATTTGACAATGCAATATGACCAGTATACAAATAAATTTTCCTTGAATGGACAAGTTAAACCATGTCAAGGCACATGTGAAATATGTATCCATCTCTGGACTGAACAGAGGTTATTCGACACTTTGGGTGAAAAAAATGTTATTACTTTTGAAGTGCTTTAATGCTTTCCCTTCCATGATCTTGTTCTTCTCACTATCTGCTATACATATAAATTAATTTTAACATAAAGAATTTGGTGTTAAATCAGACAATATCCACTAATTGAAATGTTTCTTTCTTCTCAACACCCTTCTTCCCAAAACTGTATCAGAACTTTCAGAAGAAATTCTGTTTTGGTCACTCCTGGGAGTAAGAAGGTTTCAACCTGGATGGAAACCCAAAACTCACCTATGCAGCCAATGTAGGAAGTGGTTTTGCTGTCCTTTCCTAAAAGCCACTGCAATAGTCAAACACTATTATCAAGCATCTTAGGTTACATTAAACATTAAACCAGTAACATTTAACAAAAATTTTAGTTTGTCTTTAGACCTAGTGGCACAGAGCTGGCATTAAAATCTGGATACAAGTCTATGATACAATGCCATAAATTAGCAAATAGCTGCCTTTCACCCACAACCAAACAGAACTACCCAACATCTGAAAAGGATCAGTCCAGATGCATGCAAGGCTTTCCAAATGTAATATAAACTCACAAGACCCCTGTACATTTAAAATCTGTAAACCCAAGAGAAAACCCATCAATCACTTTTCAATGCGCTTTGTGGAAGCCAATATTTTCATTTAAAAAATATGGTTTTATCCAAAGTGCAATGATGTAGGAGATTTCACTTTGCCCTGATTAAAACCAAGGCCTCTATCCATGTTTTAAATTTATTTACCTGAGTAACTCGAACAGTGTTTTGTGCAGCTCCACCAGGAATGAACTCTGCATTGAATATCTCTGTCATTTCTTGGTAACTGAAAAGAGAGAAAAAGGACACAGCTTTTGAAAAATTACTGCATGGCTAACTTAGTGAGTTAGGTTATTGTTTCTTACATATATGATGCAGATGTATGTGAGCTTTACAATGCAAGTAAAGGTATATATTTAATTCTCAGGGAAAGAGTTTCTATGTTTTCTTGTCTTTGTCTTCCTTAAACAACACTGACAACTGTAAATCGATCCTTTATGTTTGTTTTTTAATTGGAAATGAAAATTCTTTTAAGATTGTTCTAAACTGAAGACGCAGAAAAATGTGAAAAAAGATAGAGATGTTTTGTGTGCAGCAATTTCAACCACAGGTATCTCAAATTTTACTTCAGTTTGAATAATAATTCAAAGAAAAGAACAAAAAGCATGTTGATGTGTTTGAAATCATGGAACCATCATTAATAAACATTACTAAGCCTCATCTAAATGATTTACAACAAGTATTAAAAATTTTACTCTAAGCTCACATTGGCTTGTGTTTATCTTCTGCTAAAATAGCATTGTTAGCTTCAAGTCCAAATCTGTAAATGCAAGAATAAAAATGATTTAAAGAAACATCACTTTGTCCAACAAAGTTGCCACACATTTTCTTGCAAATTACATGTAGGTACTGTAACAGGAAATTTATGTGGTTTTAGATCAAGACAAAAAATTCCACCAGATAAATTTCAGTGTTCTCATTTCCTGTTTGCTGGATAATGTATGAATGTTTTTGGGAGGGTGTATGGTCAAGTCACCAGAAAGTCATCTTGCCCATAGTCATCTTGCCTGTAACGGGAGTCATGTCGCCCCCAAAATTTTTGTCATGTCGCCCAAAATAAAAAGTCAAGTCGCCCAATTTTTTATCACTTGCTAAGATATCCAAAATGGAAAATTTTTAAAAATTGCTTAAGGTACCATCACTTGAATCACCCTTTTGGAACTAAAAATATGTCCAAGGTAACTGGTGATGTTTGTTGATCAATAAGATGTTGCTCTATCTCTTTCAGCCAATCTGACCTTCATTCCCTCAACATTTTTAGAGAAAATGAATGCTGAAGTCATGAACATAGCTCCTCAATATAAATGGTGTTAACTCTAATTTACCAATCTGCACCTAGCTTGGTTTTGAACCGCAGTGGGCTGCCGCAGGAAGTTGTGCACCGATTGGTAAATTTGAAACAACCTGCATGCTTTGAATTCCTCTGGTGGCCAAGTGTTACCTGAACATGGTACTATTCTGATTATCATCTTCATGGTGTTCTCAGAAACAAAACTTTATAGCTTATTTACAATTTGTAAGTCTGAACTTCTAAGCATTTGTTTCTTCAGGCAACTTAAAATTTTTATCTCAGGCAACATTCATGACTAAAATTTTGGGCGACAAGACTTCTGGGCAACATGAGCAGTTACCATAGGGAGAAGTTACGTACATCTATTAATTAGTTAATTTGGTTAGGCAGGGGACGTTAAAGAACCTACTCATGAGATTACTGTGATGTGGTCTGGCCTGTTTACTGGGAACTGGGGGGAGGGGGCATCTTCAAATAAGTTACCTTCGATTGTTTGTAAACTGCTGATGCAGTCCGGCCAAAGTCCCCCGAAAAGTGTTGTGATGCACATTTGATCATATATCCACATGTTAATTTGCGCAATATAAATATTAAATTATTATTATTATAGGAGTTTTTTTAACTCCCAGAAAATTTTAAAGTTTTTTAAGCATATCAAGCCTTGAAAGGGTTGATATACTGAGACAAGAAAACTAAGTATGGATCAGATGGATGCACTTCCCAAGTTTCATCCAATGTTTTCTCAAATGATAGGTGTTGAAAAGTGTACTCTGTATTTATATTAAATAACTCAGCCGTAGTAATATAAAATGTAAAGGGAAATCATTTCTGGTTCTGTACAAAGTAGTAAACTCATGCAATGAGATCTTAAAACTTACTTGTCTAAGAAATCTTTGTCAACAGTAGCAGAGATATCCAAAAGAGGATTCCCCATTGCGAGGACAACTCCTTCCCTTTAAATTAAAAAAGAGTTTATTATAGTGATTGTTAATAGAGTGAAAGGAAAATATTCATGTTGAGATAACTTTAAGGTACTGTTAACAGTTCCACAAATAAATGAAGACTTGCAGTTAAATTTGAAGTTGTTCATTGTCCTTTACATACATTAAATATGCGTGAAACTATTGTTGAACCCATATTAGAAGTGGATATATTTTTCTTGCTTTCAACTTACAAAAAAAAAAAGCAAAACAAAACAAAGCCAGTGTACACTTTCACACTACTCTACATTCCATTTTAAACTGAATGAATGTTAAATCTGGCGAGTAAATTTTTTACTATCTTCAGGAGTAGCACAGAATGAATTGAAAAGCTGATGATAACTGACTCTCCTTCATTGTGGGTCTCAATAACAACTCATGTTGTGCAATTAAGAATGACCTGTACCAAGTGAAAACCCTACATTAAGTGGATAGTAGTTTCAAAACTGCAGGATACATTTGTGCAACACAATGCCCTAAATAATAGACAACTATTTTCCTTTTTTTTTTTTTCTTTTTGAGACAATTATGCAACCTCCTCGTCCCTTGATACAAAGTGAAGGGAAAACGGGTTAGAAGAGAAGTGGCCCTAATCATTAAGATCTTGAACAGCTGGAGCAAGAGGTTAACACATGACGATATTACATCATAACAATGCAGAATTCAAATTTGACCAAGGTGTGAGTTGAGATTTAGAAAGAAATTTCACAGCACAGAACTACAAATCTAGACAGAAGCAGGCGAGCGAGCTAGCTAATACACTACATTGAACGAGTTTAGATTTACAACGATCATGATTTCCCCGGTAGACATGGATGGTACATGTAAGCATATAATTTCTTCCTTCTAAAATTATACATTCATTATAGTCGGACTTCTGATTGTACGTAGTGAAGCTGGAATTTTTTTTAAGCTTACCTAGTCATTGTATAATTAAGATTGCCGGTGAGCTATGAATGAGTTTCACCTGGTAGCAGACCACTGGCTGTTAGCTGAAGTCGTTCGAGAGAATGGCACAACGTTTAACGACAGTCTTATAGGCCTAACAAAGGACTGGTACGACTTATTGCCCAATCGCTAGCAGGACACATGGGGTTATATACGTCCCAACTTCCAGTAAAATTACTAAAAAAATTAACATATGACAACTCTCCAAACTTTGACCGCGATCTGTATCTTCAGGTCCTCTTTGCACGTGTAAAATCAAGGCGAACGGATATAAATCAGACCAAATTTTCGCCATTTCATAACTTTATTTTTTCCAGCTCGTAATCTGCATTTGGCACACACACGAAGATGGATATTCAAAAAAAATTTGAAGGAGACTATCCCACCAAGATGAAAATTTGCAAATTTCATAATTAAACTCCTCGATCGCTCTAGTTAGTGTGAGAACGAAAATTCTACTAACTTCAACTCCACACGAGTTTTCTTGGTCTGTGGTTCTGTCGCCATTTTGATCGCAGGTAATCGAAGGTCAGAGGTAAGGAGAGGGAAGGAGAAGTAAGAGAGAGACGAGGACGAGACGCTTGGGAGAATTTGACGCCCGAGAAATAGAAAGAAGGTATTCAGCGGACACGCATCAAGGGCTATAATTATTATGTAAGCGTCTCGGAAATTAAAAAGTGTTTCTTGCTCAAAATGTCAATGACCTGAGAATGCTACCATGTGATTTCGGTCAAATTCTCCGGAAGATCCGCGCGCAGCGAAGTATTTAATGTCTGTCCAAAAATTGTAGATAACGAGCATGGGAGAATTTTGTCAATTGTTGCAAAGCAATAAAAAATTAAAAAATAAAAACCAAAACAAAGCAGACGAAAAGTAGTTCCCTGTTTCCAGTCTCGGTAAAGCCCAGTCAAGCTTCACAGTGTTCAGGTCTTATAATGTATTTCTATGCCCCTTGGTAAGGGATCCAGAATTAATGTAGTTTGGATGGTATGTTTTATAGACGAGAAGAAAAGAGGAATTATCCTTTCGTGTATCAGCAAATTAAGTTCTTTAATTGTCACTTCTGGTAAAAAGTGAACATCAAGTAAAAGAAATGCCTTCATTTTTTCAGCTTCAACTGAGATAAAAATGGGCGACAACTGGTGTATGATTTGGAGCTGACGGACAAGGAGCAACCCTCAAACTAGCTTGTGGGCGGCGTACTTCCTCCCCGTGGAATAAGCATTTTGACCTTGCCTTTTTTCTAATATCCCCATTTTCTTATCTTTTTTCTCTTCTTATTTCCTCTTCCCTTATTTTCTGAGCAGTTATCTATTATAGTCAATGTGGTATTTTTTTCTGATACAGTATTGGTATGAGTCGATTGCTCTTTTTTTTTTTTTTGAGTTATCGGTTCACAAAGAAGTCTTCACTGGCCGGTAAGGACGTAGCTTGGATTTTGGAGAAGGAAAGCGCAAAGCAACCTCGGCTGTTGTAATCGTTAAACACTCATTTTTCTTTTCAAATTAAATAGTCTCCCCTTGCTTATTACTAATTCCTAATTTCTTACTGGCTCCATTATTTTAACCATGCATTCTAAACCCTGTGGTGTTTTCTGTAGCTCAGAAGTCTGTTGTGGTTTTGGAATTATGGTCCTTTCAAGCTCTTCATCCTTCGGCAATACAAGCTGATTTAAAGGATCTAGAGTATACTAAGTACGCAGAGGCGGATCCAGGAATTTTTGATTGGGGGGGTCCAAACTTTGGTTCAGAAAGGACTGTTGGACTCTTTGAGGCAAATTACTTCTCCCCCACACCCCCTCCCACCAGTCGCGGTTGCACGTTATAATTCCTTGGCCGCTTACCGTTTATTTGGATTCATTAAAAAAATCAGCCAGTTAAAAGTGATATACGATCCTGTCTCAAAGTTGTAAGCGTCAGGTTTGATAGGGGAGGGGGGG